TTGTGAAGGTGAACCTCTGTTGAAAAATGTAGGTCTTACGACCCTGTAGGTTTCTCCCTGACCCGCATCTCTCTGATTTTAAAAGAGGAAAACGATGATAGGGAAGGAATGCTTGAGATATGAAGTCTGGCTGAAAACACGATCTGTGCATGTGATCTGAAGATGGGTTTGGGTATGTGGGTAAAAAAGAGGGGGGGGTGGAAGGAGAACCCTGATCCTAGTCATCAGCCGTGCCCGCTGTCCTTCACTGTTGGCCATGCAGATTGAGCTTGTAGCTCTGCAACATTTGAAAGGCCACATTTTCCCCACCCATGGAGTGCAAATTACCAACGGATGTTTCTGACACCTTAGGTGGCCTTTTCCATTTTTTTATTTTTTGGAGGAATAAAGCCACATTCTTCAGAAAAATGCATATGAGCTTGTAGCTCTGCAACATTTGAAAGGCCACATTTTCCCCACCCATGGAGTGCAAATTACCAACGGATGTTTCTGACACCTTAGGTGGCCTTTTCCATTTTTTTATTTTTTGGAGGAATAAAGCCACATTCTTCAGAAAAATGCATATCTTCTTGGACACTTGTCAGAGCTGCAGCTAGAGGGAGATGGCAGGAAAAATTAGTAAAAAAGCATTGCTTCCAACGTCTAAGAAGCAAAGTGTTTGATCTCCCAGGTCTGGATTTCCAGAAGTTTGCACACGCTTCATTGTGTAAAACCACTGGATGCTGTTTTCTGTGGCTCTTCGGAAGAACATTTGGGGTTTGCTCAGCTTTGTGGCTCTTAGTTTCAAAATACCTGCATTCTTCCCTCCACCCATGTTTGGTTTCTATCTATAGCTGCAGTGTAAATGTGAAAGCCTTTTCATCTTCTTGGCTTGTGTGGGAGATAAAATTATGAAAACCTAGTTGTGTTGCAGCCTTGTCAAGAACTCTACAAAACATAGTACCCACTCGCAGTAGGTCCTGCTCTACCTAAACTTCTGATGCCTAAGAGAATCACAGATTGCAAGAGAAGCTGTTCCATGTCATCTTCTGAAACCCATCTACTTGCAAGGCTATTATAATTTATACGCAGAAAATAACTTTTATTGGTCTTTTTACTTGATCAGAGGTTTGAAATTGGGAGCGTGATGATCTCATTGGTCTTTTGCTTTGACACTTATGAATGAACAGGCAGGAGAGAGATTTGCGGGTGTGTAGCCAATTACCTGGAAGCAATTAAAGCTCACTTAATCTTAAGCAGTGGATCAGGGCACAGTTCCAAGAAAAACAAGTGCCTTACGGTTAAGGCTTGTCTTTTGAGTGTTTTATGCTATTATCAGGTGAGCTGATGATCTTTGTAGGAGAGGGAAGGATAGCCCATTTTTCCTTCCTCCCAGGCACCTAAACCATAGTTTTGAATGATCCTGGACATGTACAGGTAGTCCTTGTTTAGTGACTGCGTCATTTAGCAACCATTTGCAGTTACAACAGTGATGAAAAAGTAACTTTATGACCAAACCTCACACGGACGACCTTTGCAGATCTATAAAGCAAAGGAAAGCTGAAGTAAGATCATAAGCACAGTTGTGGTTGCACTTAGCGACCGTTTCACTTAACGACCGAGTTGCTGGTCCCAATTGTGGTCGCTAAACAAGGACTCCCTGTATGTTAATTATAGTAATAGTATGCATGTACTAGTATGCATGTTTGTTACTACCTTGCCTTGTTTCTTCTATTTCATATTGCCCAGCAGGAATGTGGGAAGATGGACCCTGGTCTAGATACGTTGTGGGGGGTTGGTTTGCCTTTTGCCATCAATACGTCTTTTGGGTAGCTACACCTCTCCTTGGTGAAATCTGATCTGGTCTCAATAAAGCATGGTATAGTCACTTCCACATTAGGCCGTCCCCAAAGGCAGGGAACTGGGGCAGCCCTGGAAAAGCTTTCAGAGGACATCCACCGGTCTAAAACACTGCCAGCAAATCGTGATGGGTGTTTGGACAATCAGCCCAATCCCGGCTTGTGATTTTATGCTTAGTTTACCATGCTTATCCCATTGTTGCGGGGCTCTGTTTATCGTCATCAACTCTACAACTGGAAGCGATCTTAAAGGTTATCTATCTGAAGCCCTTTTCCAAACAGGGTGGCAGTGCAGAATTTTGCAAATGCTGCATCTCTGACAGATAGCTAATATTCTTCCGTTACGTTGCTCCAGCTTCCCCAGGTGCTCTGATCCACCGACCAACAACCCATACATAAAGAACAATTTTACAGTTTTCCATGCTTTAGTTCTCATCCTGTCCTCTGGAGCATGATACTCCATCAGGCACTGTCTCTAAAGGAGCTGCTGTGTGGCTCGAAACGGGCCTCCTCCCATCTAGAAGCCCTTGGGTGGACTTGGTTCAGCACTGGAAGTTTTCTTCCTTGAGCCTGTGTGTGAAGAGCCGGGGTCTCTTAGATGGTGGCGGTTGCTTTCTGAATTGTTCTACCTCTGCCAGATGCCAAACAGGAACCTGACGCTTCATAAGTGACCTGTGGACCTAGCTGATGCAATCGTGGAACAGGAAACTATTGCTTCCCGTAATATTTGCAAGCAGGATCTAAGCAGGGCAGCACTCCCCTGCTTATTGGGGGAGTGCTGCCCTGCTTAGATCCCCCTTGTAAGTTTCTTGGCCTTTCAGAAATGTTCACCTCCAAATGGATTGAACTGCCTGTAGCCCAGTGTTTTTCAAACTTGGCCACTTTAAGACGTGTGGACTTCAACTCCCAGAATTCC